AGCAGGTATTCTATCTGTCTTTAGCCCTGTTGTCAGTATTTATCCAGCATTTCAAAACCAATCTGAAAAAACTGCTTCCTGACTCCAAGCACTGTCTGGGAAATGCTTTTCCTTTTCAGCAATTAACATTACTGCAAACCAAAGTAACTTCTAATTTGTGACAGTTGTGCAAAAACCTCAACCCAAAAACATTGTTTTGGCATTGGTATTCCTTCCATATTGAAGTGCTTTAGAATGCTCAGTGACCTTATCCCAGCTTGAGTATCTTCTCACAGCTTCTTATGGTTGGACTATGGTGTATCTTGTCCCCAGAATTCTTTCTTAATGATCTGTGAATTTCAGTCTTAACTAGCTCGTGTGTATGTCAGTCATAGACAAATGTATTTATTTACTAGAACAGTGAGACCCTATGTTTGCTTAGACTTGAAAATGACACTGGGAATGAAAAACTTGACATCCTGTGTGGATCTTAAGAGATAGTCCTAAATCACAGTAATGCAGTCCTGCTCCCTTCAGATTGGGGTCAGTTCAGGAAAAGAATGGTTCAAAAAGCACTTATAATTTGGCTTGTGAAGAATTTGACAGCAGGTTTCTACAAAGGAAAGTGAGATTATCAGCTCCAGGTAGCATGCCCATACTGCCTAACAAAAAACCACTAGTGTCTAGCAAAAAAAAAAAATCTCTGGGAAAGCTGGAATGCTGAAAGAACTTTGCTTAAATACTGTCATTTTTGGGGAGAGGGTAGGTTATTAATAACTCAGTTTTTGCTGTCTGATAAAAATTAATTAGGCCCCTTTTTAGTTTAAATCTGATTTTGTAGTAAAGCAAATGTAAATTCTGAAAAGGGAAATTGGGTTTTAGGAAAAGTTTGGCAACATTTGATATCAATTGTGACTGGCAGTACTTTGTGATTCCTCTGTAATTGTCCCTGCTCAGGCAGTTACTCACGGCTGAGTAGTTAGTTGTCTCTGGACTGCTAAGTCATTGTGTGCCCATCATCACAATCAGTTTATGGTTTTAAAACAAGACCAGTTTTTTACACACCATGAGATCTGTAGTTTTGTAGTGAACTGAAACGAGGTAAGGTTCTAGCAGCTAAGTAAATCGAGCAGAATTGAGATGTTTAGAGTAATAGAGGAACATCAGCTTTTAATTCTAACTTGCAGAGGAGGTTTGAAATACAGTGTAGTGAAATTCACTAAGGGGTTATGTTTTTCCATCTTAGGTCGCCATGAAGCTGGTACAAAGAGGGAAAAAAATGAAACAGCCCAAAAGAGACACCATGGAAAATAATGAAGTGGAAGCTCAGCACAAATGCCCTGAGTGTGGAATGTTGTTCCAGCGGCGCTATGCACTCATAATGCACACACTGAAACATGAGAGATCTAAGGAATATAAATGCCCAGTAAGTTCTTTAAGGAAATTCATTCAGTAGTTATATTAGTAAGTTTTTTTTTCTTGGCTCTTTTGATAAACGTATTTGTTTTCCTTATGGTTTTCAATCCTGGTCTGGTTGGGGTGGGGTAAAATGTGGTGCAACCATTTGGCCTGACACTTGTGACAGGGGAGTGTGCTTGCTGCTCCAGACAGTGCTGGCATGGGTTTTACTTTGAACTTTATCAGTAAATTTGCAACTGTATTTAGATTATCCTGGAACTTAGTCTCATTGGGAAGCGATCAGTGGCTCTGTCAGTAGCCATAAAATTAAAAACTTACAACTATTAATTAACCTGAGATAAAATGCCTATTGGAGTCAGGTTATAGATTTTAACTAGTCATATTATGGTGCTTAAAACTTTTGAATATTATTTTTTTATTGTAGAACTCTGAGTATGAAATGCAAAGTGCAGTTGTGATATTTTCTTTCCCAGTTGTGTAAAAAAGAATTCCAGTATGGTGCCTCCCTGCGAGCTCATCTAGTCCGGCACACTCGGAAGACTGAAGCCAGCACTGCAGCTACTAGTGCAGAAGGGACAGGAGTGTCTTCAGTGAAAGGAAGAACCAAACGGGAGTTTGTCTGTGATATATGTGGGAGAACTCTGCCCAAGCTCTATTCTCTCAGAATACATATGCTTAAACATACAGGTGTAAAGCCACACGCGTGCAAGGTAAAGAGAAATTGCTTTTACTCTTTAATCAAACTAGGAATGTTGTTTTGGTATTCACACTCTGCCCTAAAATTTATGTTAACTTTGGTCGCTTCAGAATAGGGAAAACTACTGGAACATTTCTGATGAAATTGCTTGCAGCCCTCGAATGAGAAAACTAGAATGAATTTGAGTCATGAAAGTTCATATTTCTGTGTCCAGAAAAATGTCATCCATTGAGTATTTTTTTTAACAGACCAGTTCTGTCACTGGTATGAAATCGCAGGTTTGGCCATCCTAGTTCATAGGAAGTACAGGAGGTTTTGTTGTGTTTAAAGTTAAACAGCTGTTACATAATGAGTTTTATTTGTCCTATTCTACCACAATTGGATTTTTTTAGGTTTGTGGAAAGACCTTTACTTATAAACATGGATTAAAAATGCACTTAGCTCTCCATGAAGTACAGAAACAGTTCAAGTGTGACTTGTGTGAAAAGTCTTTTGTCACAAAAAGAAGTCTTCAGGAACACATGAGCATTCATACAGGTGAGAAATGATTGATGAGAAAGAGAATCCT